GCTCACTGCAAGCTCCGCCTCCCGGGTTTACGCCATTCTTCTGGCTCAGCCTCCCGAGTAGCTGGGACTACAGGTGCCCGCCACCTCGCCCGGCTAGTTTTTCGTATTTTTTAGTAGAGACGGGGGTTTCATCGTGTTAGCCAGGATGGTCTTGATCTCCTGACCTCGTGATCCGTCCGTCTCGGCCTCCCAAAGTGCTGGGATTACAGGCATGAGCCACTGCGCCCGGCCGGTGTATCCTTTTAATGTGTAGTTTCAAGTGCCCCCTCCTGTTTTCTGGAGAGTTTTCTTGAATTACAGTTTCTAGTATATTCCATTTCACTGCTTTAGTTTTCACCTGTTTTCGAGACAGGGTCTCGGTCTGTTGTCCAGGGTGGAGTCAGCCTTGCCCTCCCAGACTCAAGTGACTTTCCCACCTCAGCCTCCTGAGTAGCTGGGACCACAGGCATGTGCCACTGTACCTAGTTAATTTTAAAAATATGTTGCAGAGGCGGGACCTCAGTACATGTCCAGGCTGATCTTGAATTACTGACCTCAAATAATCCTCCTGCCTCAGCCTCCCAAAGCATTGGGATTACAGGCGTGAGCCGCCGTGCCTGGCCAGTTTTCATCTTTAGCATCTCCTATTATACATATGTTGGGTCTTCTTTTCCTGTCTTATGTGCTACTTTTTCTTGAGCTTTTTTCATCTCTTTCATTTCTTTTTTATTCTTGAAAATTTTGTCATTTTGTTTTTCTTAAGGTACCATTGTGTTTATTTGTTCTAAGGTTCTTGTAGTTTAGGCTTCATTTCTGAAGTTATTTTTTCTTTTGTTTCTAATATATTCTGAGTTCTAGTACCTTGTTTCTGAGTTTTTCTAATGCTGGTTTCTGGTTAATGGTATGTTATGTGTTTAATGTATTTCAGTTTGTTTTGAATTATCAGGATTTTTTTTTTTTTTTTAGTTTTCATCTTTTTGGGGGACATATGTTTCTAGAATGTTTTCATTGTCTGCAGTGATGTTATTTTGCTTCTTATTCTTTTAAGAAATATGTTATTTTTGCATGATATTTGGCCTCAGTACTTTCTGTTGCTCATTTTTATATGACTTTTTCTTTTCTGAATGCTCAGAAGGGAGGCTTGGTTTAGAATCGTTTCTCTAATTTCAGTGTTTTGGGGTTCTTTCCTGTGTTGTTTTTTGAAAGTTTTAAAAATGCAGCAACTTATTTTCTCAGCTCTCTAGGCTCCATTCTCCCCTCCCACCTTTCATTAGCTTTCATGTTCCTTGGTCTCTAGTTTCCATGCCCTGCACATTTTGTGTTCAATTCCAGGCTGTTTCTTTTCAATGTGTTTGGCCTAAAAGGGAGCTTTGGATAATGAGTTTTAAGAGGGCTTGGGGTCCAGAACACTTGGGCCTCTGGGTCAGCCCTGCAGGCCTCTGTGTGGGTCTCCTGGTGGATCCGGCAGCTGCTGCTCTCAGCCCGGCTCCTGCTTCCCTCTGCTTGCTCCGTCCTACGCCCGTGTGCCATGCTGACCTTGTGGCTTCCAATGTCCCCATCTGCTTGTGTTTGGGGTTCTTGAGGAATATCCTGTAACCTCGTTCTGTTGGCGGTGTTGACCTGGGTTTTGGTTTTGCTATCCTTGGAGCTGTGTGTGTCTGTATGGGAGGATTTAGGGAGATTAAACATCTGTCTCATTCCGTCTTTCTCGGCTGGACTTTTTAGAGGTTAGCGCTGGTCCCTCTGAGGCTTTGTGTCTCCCCCTCCAGTTATTTGTCATCAGCTCTTTTTTTTTGTTAAGGACAATTAATTTATGTTTCCTCAGTTCATCTAATCTTGTGTAAAGTTATAAGGTGGGAATAAAAATACCTTTGTTATTTTATAGATCTTGTATTTGATCACACATTTATGAAAAATATTGCCTTGACTAATAAAGGAAGATTTAAGACAGCACTTGGCTCCTTCTTCCACGAATTGTTATCCCCAAGAAATTCTAGAGCTGAGGCGAGGTGCAGTGACTCACACCTGTAATCCCAGCACCTTGGTAGGCCGAGGCAGGCGAATCACCTGAGCTCGGGAGTTCAAGACTAGCCTGACCAACATGGAGAACCCCCGTCTCTACTAAAAATACAAAGTTAGCTGGGTGTGGGGGTGCATGCCTATAATCACAGCTACTCAGGAAGCTGAGGCAGGCAAATCACTTGAACCCAGGAGGTGGAGGTTGCGGTAAGCCGAGATCGTGCCATTGCACTCCAGCCTGGGCAACAAGAGCAAAACTCCATCTCAAAAAAAAAAAAAAAAAAGAAAAGAAAAAAGAAATTCTAGAGCTGTTGCCATTTAAGCTGTAAAATTTAAACCTAGACAAAGGAGAGGAGGAACTGCATTTTTCATTGGATTTAAGAACACGTGTGAGGCCTGCTTTTGTAATTTCATTCCTGTTGGGACTCATCCATTAACAGAAGTTGTGGCCGGGCTCGGTGGCTCACGCCTGTAATCCCAGCACTTTGGGAGGCCGAGACGGGCGGATCACGAGTTCGGGAGATCGAGACCATCCTGGCTAACATGGTGAAACCCCGCTCTACTGAAAATACAAAACTTAGCCGGGCGTGGTGGCGGGCGCCTGTAGTCCCGGCTACTCGGGAGCCTGAGGCAGGAGAATGGTGTGAACCCGGGAGGCGGAACTTGCAGTGAGCAGAGATTGCGCCACTGCACTCCAGCCTGGGTGACAGAGCGAGACTCTGTCTCAAAAAAAAAAAACCAGAAGTTGTGAATAGACTCAAGAGTTGAAACCATGTGACCTGAAAACCCCACTTTTCCTTCTGCGATGGGGGTTGTGGTTAGGGACAGTGAACAGACTCTTCCTGATGAAAGGAGCTGTGCTGTACAGAGCTGGGCACAGGGTTTCTGCCCTTAAGAAGTGTATAGTGTAGTTCAGGGAAAACAGTTTACTTTATACCATTTATGTGTCAATAATTAAAATATAAAGCATAATCTGATAAAAAAATATGGTCACATTCATTCCTCATTTCAGTGACATCCTATTTTGCACTCCTATATTTGGATCTGTGTGTCCATAGACCGTAGTTTGAATGATGCAGCCTCATTTTTACTTTGGAAAATAAGTTCTCTTGAGGCCTAATCAGAGCGTCACAGGAGCTGGAGGAAAGCCCCTGACTGTTTCAGACACTGTGCCAGGCTCGGGGATAGCCCCACCCTGGACAGCACAGTTGTGGACAGGACAGATGGTTCCCCCTTGGTCATGGTGGCACGATGCTGCTCGGGTTCAGGACAGAACCTGAGAGCAGAAAGAAAGCAGAGCAGAGGTGCTGCCACTCCGCCGGGCCTGTGGGGCAGCAGAAACGGAGTATGGGTTCTAGTCTAGATGGAAGCGTGCAGTTGGGAGAGATTTGGGAGGAGAGATGACGTATCACCATGGAGACCAGTGGTGTGGTGTGGGTGGGATGCTGCTTTCTGGGGTGTGGTGAGTGTAGCAGGGCTGAGGCCCCACGGGAGCAGGAAGTGACAGGACGTTTGCTGTAGGCAGTCAGGCCCCACTGGAGACTTGAGCTGAGGGAGAGGATGTTTCCAAGCCAGTGTTGGGAAGGTGGCTTTGGAAGGGCATGAGGAATGTGGTGGAAATGGAGACGCCCTGGGTGACTTGTCCAGTGGTTAAGGAATGAGGCAGCGGGTGGCGTTTTCAACTATTTGTTAATTTTCAAAGAAACTTACCTTTTGGTGGTTTGAGGCAAGAAGAACCCTGCATGTAAAAATCCACAGACATTCTCGGCCTCTTGCATACATGTGCACGGCTCGTGGTTTTCATCATTTCACATGTGGCGATGGTTAATGTCCTCTCCTCCTCTTTTGCTTCTGTTTGGTAGGTGACCAAAAGCCAGCCCCTCTTCGAGTGGAACTCTTGCGTGTTGACCGGCCACTCTCCTGTGCTCTGGATGATGTCTGAACACGACCTGGCGGATGTGGTTCAGATTGCAGTGGAAGACCTGAGCCCTGACCACCCAGGTACAGAGCTGTGGGACAGTAGGTGAAATATTATTCTCACTATTCTTGAAAAACCAAAAGCTGCTGCAGTTATTTTCTTTTCTTTAAGCAGAAGTCAAAGTAATGCATGCTGTATATGAAAAAGTTTGAATCCTAGAGATGTGAACACTGTCGGCCCCTCCCTTCCCTCGCCCCTGCAGCCTCAGCCCCATGTTCCTTCTGGAGGGGGCCCCTGTGACACTTTGTCTCGAGGGCTGTCTCTGCTCCTGCTGCTCGGGTGTGTGTGTGTGTGTTCTACACCCTCTCCCCTGCCCCATCCCTGTGTGCGGCATCGTGGATCCTTACCATGTTGTGTGTGTAATCCCCTGTGTGTGGCGTCGTGGATCCTTACGATGATGTGTGTGTAATCCCCTGTGTG